TTGGTTGAATGCAGTATTTATTTCCACTTTGGCTTTATGTTTAATTTTTATTCAAGTACGTTTTTTGTTAATGGAGACTGAGAATCCATTTTATTTTTGTTTTTGGTTGTTTTGTTTATTTTGTTTATCAGTTAAGTGTTCTTTTGAAAATAAAGTGCATCTATCTTTGGCAGGAAATTGCATGCATTATTACATAATTTCCATTAAATCTATGTAAAAAGGTCTTCAAACAATATTATCGTTTATCGCAATAATTTTTGAGACAATTAATTGCTCAGCAAAATTTGTTATCATGACAGGCCTATTCATAATATCCTACAGGTTTAAAAACTGTTCTAGGCTCAAAAAATTATGTATATTTACATTTTCACTAAATTTATTTTGATATGCCCATTTCATTAAGTGTTAACTATATCAGTTCTGTTGTGTTTATTGTCACATCAAGCTGAGCTGAGCTGATATCATTTTATTAACCTGATTAACAGACTGATGGGACCGATTAGTTATGGCTGGATCTTTATCTGCGTAGATAAAGATATCTACGCAGCACTGGGAGAGAATTATTATTATTTATTTTTTTTTTTTGCACTCCTAGATATTCAAAGTACGCAAACAAAAAGGTGGATTTTGCATGACTTGTCCCCTTTAAAAGCATAAAACAGCTGCATATCTGCCATAACAGCCTGGGATGTGCATTGCAAACTGGGTAGGAATATAAATGTTATAGTGTTCAGTATTAGTTTATACTTAACACTTGTCCCCATTCACATAAACAATAAAATAAAGAAGACAAATGAAAAGGTGTCCATGACTGTCCTCTGGACATCTTTACAGTCAGCATTCTTCCTCATGATTGTGTCCGACTGACCCAGAGTAAAACACTCAGGGTCAGGAAAGCTTTAAAGGTATTTTGAGTCAACTAGCTGATTAGGGTTTGAAACCTCTAGTTTCCATTAACAACCGTTTTCATAGTATTTCAATTTTCTGAGATATGCTAGTATGTCTGCGTTCACATGTTTCTCCCTTTGTACGACCAGGAACAAACTGTTCTTCACCTGTAAAGAATTGCTGGAAGGCTGGATGACTTCCCCGGTGTTCCTCCTTCCTTCTTGCTGGGCTTCCTCTCCTTTGGAGCTTTCAGAATTGCTGGAGTGTTCAGTTTCTACAGAAACCAAAAACTTAGAAGTCAGTCATATAGAATATTATTTTTTCTATAATCAAACAGAGAGACCTGTCCCTCTAAATCAGTTGTTGTAGAACCAGATGTGCTCCAAAGATCACAGAATGCTACCAGGTTTATACTGTCACATTAGTGAAGTAAGGATAAAGCAAACAGAATGTCACACTGGAGTGTCAATTCTATTGAATCAGTCTGAAAATATGAAATGTAAATTTAAATCAAAATCAAATCAAATTTTATTTGTATAGCACATTTCAGCAGCAAGGCATTTCAAAGTGCCTTACATCATTTAAAACAAAAGCACAGAGTCATGCAACATTGAATAAACAATCAGAAACATTAAATTTCCTGCCGAGTCGAATTTCTGCCCTTAAAATCAGCAGAGAGAGAGAAAAAAAGAAACATCGGGAGTGGGAGGACTCCAACCCGCACCCGTTTTAAAACAATGAGGGGAACTCCAACCTGCACCCCTTTTAAAACAACAGGGAGGGACTCCAACCCGCCCTTTTAAAACAATGAGGGGGACTCCATCCCGCACCCCTTTTAAAACAACGGGGAGGATGTCAACCCGCACCCCTTTTAAAACAACATGGGGGGACTCCAACCCGCACCCCATTTATATGAATCTTGACTCCTTTCACATAATTAAAACCTTGTGGCAAAAGCCCATACACTGTTAACCCAGGTGGACTTAAGAGCTGTTAAAACAAACATGAAAGTTGAAGTAAACTGGATGGAGACTTGATGCCTCCTGCTTAAATCCTGGGAAGGCCTTTGCCCCTAAATGAATGGAACTCATGTCTTACCAGGACTTACTTCCATTTCAACTATAATGATAAAATGTTTATTCTAAGATGTTCAGGTGTTCTACGAAACCTCTGTGGGTTCAAGTGAGGTGTCACTGACAAGCTGTGGTCTGCAGTGCATCAGGAAAGTATTTACAACATTAATCCAGATTTTATATACCGTATTTTCCGC